AGTGTTTTGAGGTTCATCCATGTTGTAGCATATATCAGTACTTTGTTCCTTTTTGTTGGCATCCTTGGTTCTTAATCATTGTCACTGCTGCCTTCCTTTAGCTTTAGGACAAACCACCTCACTGAGCCAACTAGGTCCTAGCCTCAAATGAAAGCTGCAGAGTTAACCTTTCACCTCACAGAGGAAACAGCCTGACAGGCACGCCCAGAAATGGATTCCTCCTGAGATGTGTTTTTAGTTTGAGCTCTTAGAAACCCAGTGATTCCCTCCCTGCAAGAGATCGTGATGCTAAACATCAGGTACGTGACAGCTTAGGTGCAGGGTGATCAGGTTTTGGAATGGGGAACCGTTCCAGAAGTACAGCTGCCGTGTCTGCAGACACGGGCTCTGCCTGCCCGTGGAGAGCAAACCTCCAACCCCCGGAAGGTTGGGACTGGTGGGCCTGGATTAGGTTGTCCCTGTAACTTAAGGACCGTAAAGGCTGGTCCTGTTGAGCCAGATCTGTTTTTCATTCTGGGCAAATAAAACTGTCACATTTCTGAAGGGCCTTGTCCTGTTGAGACCCCATGTGTATCTTACTGGCATCAAGGACATTTCCTCAGTGCTGCCTCCTGGAAGGCCTTCTAATTGTCCCTCAGCCTTCCTTTGCAGGGTACATTGTTGAGTAAGTGTGGACGCTAGTAAACTTCTGGGAACTTGGTGGCTTTTTGGTCAGTCTTAACAAGTTGAGCAACCACTGGGTGCTCGGCAGTCTTGAGGTATGGTCCTCCTTTGGGGAAATGCAGAGGAGTTGTCTAAAGGGGCAAATTTGAAGATGGTGGTTAATGTATTCTAGATGTTAAAGCAGAGCCTTTAGTAGTGGTGTCTATGACAAAGATCTACACTTTTGAGTTAAAGCAGCAATGTGGCTGCCCAAAGAACTGGTGGATTGATTGGATAAAATTGTGAAGTGAGAGAAGATGGTGCCTGCATTCTGGTTAGGTCATACTCAGTTGGATACACGCATCCTGGGATGTAGACCAGCTAGAGCCTTGGAACAGGAGAGGTTCTCAGTTGGGAAGGGCTCCAAACTAGTTCTGATAAAGATTGGTTTAAAGAAAAGGTAACAAAAATAATTAGGAACAGTAATTACATAAACTTCTAAACTTGTTCAACTAATCCATCCTAGTGTGCGCTTATTAACGATGATAATAGCAGATACTTGGTGTGTATTTGCCATGCACCACGCATGTACTAAGGGCTGTTACCATATCCTCTCAGCCTGTAGAAGAGAAGACTCGGGGTACCCACTTGTTGACTTTATTTGGAGAGTGATCAAATGCAGGAAGGGCTGCTCTGTAAGATGCCAAGTGGTAGAGCTGGGAGAAATGGGTTGAACCCATAGATAGAATCTGCGTCCGGTATGAAAGGGACAAGTGGAATTGTCCAGGGGAATGAAGTGGGCAACTCCCATGGCTGGCCAGGTCCATGACCTTGAGGTCTCCATGTGGCGATGTAGAGGATGTCCCTTGAGGTTTGTTGGGACTGGGTAAAAACAAGACTGGTAAATAGTCCATGAGCCGTTTGAGAGCATTTTTGAACCCACATACAAAATGGCTTTATTATTCCTTTAAACATGAATGAGTTTTTGAGCAAAAAGGTGTTTAGGGAATATTCTGAAGAGTTACTCTGTCTGCAGCAGAAATGGGAAAGGCGATGGCGTAGATGGGAACTTCCTCCAGGACACATTGATGTGTTCACTGCTCCGCAGAGCTCCCCCTCCGGGGCCCCTCGCTGGAAGGCTCACTATGTTTGATTCTTCTTTCCCAGTCATGTGGCTGGCTCCCCGGTGAACCCTACAGCCACCGAGTTAGGAATCCTGCAGACTTGCCCACCGCAGGAAATGGGCAGGTCTGCTGGATTGGAGACAAGGCGAAATTGTTGCGTTTGGTCCTGGAGGGCTTGCTTTATTTAGTCAACCTTCTGGGTTGCAAAAGAGAAATCATTGCGTGTTCTCAGATCCAAGTCTGCCTCAGATTTCCAACCTTATTTAAACAATGGAATGCCAATATATAAAGCAGAGAAAAGAGGTATTGGTGTGGATATTAAGTTCAAATTTATAGCATTCTTCAAAGATCAAACAATGAGAACTGATATTGCCTTGCTATTGGGGTTTATGAATAATATCTGTCAACGTCGATATCAAATTTATTTTTCTTTTTTAGTTCTCTAGTATGGGCATAATTCTGATGCCGACAAGTGTATGACTGCAATGTTTTCAACAGCTAACCTTACAAGAAAAGAACCTAGCAAGTGTGTGAATTCAACAATTTGAGGATACTTTTTAATGACTCAGGGGTAGCAGCAGAAGCTTGTAAGATGTGCACAAAAATAAGTTAAACTTGGCACACAGACTATCATTTTGTTGATCTCTAGTGTAAGCTATACACTTAATCGTGCACATTTTAATAATACATTTTATTTAACTCAGTATATTCAAAAATATAATTTGAACATTTAAACAATGGGATAGTTTATGTTCTTTTTTTCCTACTAAGACTGAAATCTGGTGTGTATTTCACACAGCACATCTCAGTTCTGACGACCCACATTTTAAGTTCTCAATAGCCGCATGTAGCTAGTGGCTACCATTTTGGATGGCGCAGTGCTAGAGGCTTTACATACGTTATCACGGTTGATCCACTCTAGAATCTTTTTAGGTAAATATTGTTGCTACATTATACTGAAGCTCCTAAAAGTTCAATAACCTGCTAGGGGTCACGCTAGAGAGTATGAGTGGAGGAGGGAAGGTTAGGACCTGATCTGTTAGTCTACAAAATCTGGTTTTTCTATACCTGAGTGTACATTATTTTGGTTGGTTTTTTCAAAATAGTTTTTAAAAACAGTTTAATTTTTTTAAGGCAAAGTTCCACTGTTACTTTACCGGGAATGGGGGGAGGTGGGCGGGATTCCAATTTATTTTGTTCATTCATATTTCCATCAAGAAACCTGGATTGTAGAAAATTGATTTTTTTTCCATTTATGAAGCTTTTGTTCCTGGTTCTATTGAAACAAATGTGAGAAAGTCAAAGATAGGCAGACCATGTAATTTGCAAATATCAAGGGACCAATTTGGCAATGCCTGATGCATGAGAAGACCTCATTCTTCCCTGTGAGACTGATATGGCATGCTTTAACATTAAAAGTCTCCCTGCCTCCGTGTTTCCTTCATTTCCTCAAGGCCACGAGGAAGAAGGCTATCCACTGAGGTTTTTCATGTACTCCACAAGAAGTTGCATGCTGTCGAATCTGTGCAGCTGTGTGGCTGCTGTTCCGGAAACAGGCCAGCATTGGAGACAGAACGTCCTGTCCAGTGCCTGGGAACATGTTCAGTCAGGAACCTCTGAGTCAGGTGACGAGAGCAACTAGGGCCTCCTCCTGCTGAGAAATGAATTTGTCAGAGACTTGTAATTGGGAAAACCCATTCCTCTATGTCCAGACACTGTTTCCTGCCATTGTGTGATCCATGAAGGAATGGGACCCATGTGGTAGAAACCGAGAAACGTAATGGTAGCTCTCTAACTTGATGCACTCATGGCATATTCATAACCTAGTCACTGACAAGATTTTGAGAGTGTTCCATTCTTCTCGAATCACTCCGTGCTGTTAAAAATTCAGGATAGGTAGGTATCTCCTAAGAGCCCAGGTCATAGTCTCCCTTGTGTTGAACTACAACCCCCTTGTTTTAATTTATGCTCTTAATGCTGTGGTACAAGTCTAGAGAATGAGCTGCAGGTGTTTCTACCATGTGGTTTATGTTGAAGCCATTCTTGATGTGAATTGGGTGTAACATAAGAGAGTGCTTGTCCTGGAATCTGCCGGAACTAAGGGCTTATCACATAGCACCAAACTCTTGCCTTAGACAACATTCCCCGAACATCAGATAATCAAGTTTAGCTGAGAGGATATTTTTAACCTAAAAATATGTTTTACATAAAAACAGTTTTACATAAAACTGAATATGAAGCATCTGCATCAAAATAAGCATGGTTTTAGGCACTAAATAATTTATCCATTCACTAAATATTTATGAAGTACCATGCTTTGTATGAGCCACTGTGTTACATGCTGGGATCATTGCAAAAAGTGAAGGAAGATGATCTACTTGTAGCTCAGATTCCAAAAGAAAGTTCATGATAAGGAATTGAAAAGACATGGCGGCCTCCCCACAGTGCATGGAGAGCCCGTAGGCACACTGAGGAGAAGGCAGCACTGGCTCCAGAGAGAGAGGAACTTCAAGGCTGTACAGCCCTTCTGGGTGTAGACACTTAAGTCGTCTAGATGAGTCATTCCAAACCTTGAGTGTGTGTTGGATCACCTTAGGGGGCTTGTTAAACACAGATTATGGAGGCTTATCCCCAGAGTTGCTGATTCAAGAGTCTGAGGTGGGGCCAGAGAATCTGGGTTTCTAACAAATGTCCCAGTGGTGCTGGTGCTGCTGGTCTGGGGCCACACTTAGAGAACCACTGTTCCGTAGAAATTGTTAGTGACAATGTGAAAACTAAGGACACTGGAAAATGCCTAAGATTAGCACAGTAATTTGAGCCAAGTTCTAAGATCAGATAGAAGCACAAAGAACTCCCAGAGAAGAGGGTTCAGACAGAGGGGAGAGAGGCTGTCTCTTGCCCACACCTCTTAAGCCTCATTAGAAAGTTCCTTAATGAGAAGGCCTCAGCGACTGACACCTGAACCTGTTGTCACCCCTGTGGCTTAGGTTCTATATGTACATTTATTGAGGTACGTATGTTTTGCTCTTTCAGCTGTGAGAAGTAATAGAAGGGCTTGTATGATTCTTCTCACCCCAAGGCAGCCAGGCCTGTGTCTCCCCCTTCCCTCCAGGGTCAGTGATGGGTAAGCACTTCAGGGCCAAAACAAGTTGCTGGGCACCTGGAAGAGAGCTTCGCTGCCAAGCTTCTGTTGAGTCCAGGCCCACTGGGGAAGTTTGGTGTGGGGCAGGGCAAAAGAGGGTTCTGTTATGGACTGAATTGTGTCCCCCCAAAATTCATATGTTGAACCCCTAACCCCCATTGTGACTGTATTTGGAGACAGGGCCTTTTTAGAGGTAGTTAAAGTTAAATGAGGTTATTAAGGGTGGGGGCTTAATCCAATAGGACTGGTGTCCTTGTAAGAAGAGGAAGAAACACCAAGAGTGCTCACACAGAGAAAAGGCCGTGTGAGGACACAGCGAGAAGGTGAAGGTGGCCGTCTGCAAGCCAAGGCGAGAGGCCTCAGGAGCAACCAAATCTGTCAACACCTTGATCTTGGACTTCCAGCCTGTGAGAAAATAAATTTTTGCTGTTTAAGCCACTCAGTCTGTGGTCTTTTGTTATGGCAGCTTGAGCAAGATAATACAGGGTGCAACCAAGGTGAGAAGGTGAGCTTCCCGAAGCCGGGAAAGCAGGTGGTGTTACAAGGGGGTTCTGCCAGTGGAGACTCATTCAGCTCCATCAGGTGAGGGGACCTCTGAAGAGGGGAAGTGTCATGAGAAATGAGTGCGAAAAGCCAAGGTTGGAGGCAGAGCCAAAGATCCCCAAGTGACAGATAGACTTCACAGGCTTGAACAGTGAATATCTCCATGGGCTGAGGACTCGAGGCTGATCTCCTGTTTTCAGACGACACACAAGCTCCAAAGATTCTGGTACAATCCTATAGAGAAGCCATCCCCCAGACACAAACTTTCCAACATTTTAACTGGTGGAGGCTTAGGATTGGATCTGACTTTTTAAAAATAATATGTCATTTCTTGACCTGAATGTTGTGGATTAAATTCATATCTACTATGCAAAGTCTAAATAATAAGCTAAGCCTAAGACATTTTTTAAAACTTTATTATGAAAAAATTTAATTATACGCAAAAATAATAGATAGACCCCTATGTATCCATCACTCTGCTTCAACTCTAGTCCATGTATGGCAATCTCTTTATTCTCCCACTTCCCTTTCCTCATAGATTTTGTTGAAGCGGTCCCCAGACATTGTATCTTTTGACCCATAAATATTTCAGTATCCATTTCCAAATCTGCTAAGCCATTATCACACCTAAAAAACTAACAAAAATCCCTTAATTTCTTCAAATATCATTCAGTATTCAAATTTCCGTGATTGTCTCAGTGATTTTTAGCAGTGTGTTTGAATCAGGATCTATATAAGTTGAACACGTAATTGGTTGATACATCCTTTTTTTTTTTTCTTTTAAGTTAGGATTATTGATGCTTAAATGTTTCCACCTTTGGCCAGTAGGCACCTCTTCAAGTTAGCTGAAGTTGGGTATTTTAAACATGATTGTAATGGTCTTTGATAGTTCTGCTTTCTGGTATTACAAGTTCTAGACTCATTTTGTTCATTTTCTACCCAAGCCCTGGAAACCCCCATTTCTTCAGGAGATCTGAGTTCCTTTAGTGAGACATGGTATTGTGTACCACAGTCTGGTCCAAGTGTTGCTCATTGCTGCAAAGTTGGGCATTTTTCTAGGTCTTTTCAATGGAAAGAGAATTTTTTTTTTTTTTTTTTTTTTTTTTAATGAGAGACAGTGCCCCATGAATTTATACTGAAATTCAGGATGACAGAATTTTTCTTTAACTTCTTCGGTCTCATCATCTATATCTCCTTTGTCCCATCCTGAAAGTCCTTGTTCTAGATAGCACCAACAATATCATTCATTTGCTGCAATATGTACACAAAGTCTCAGAATAATTATGTCAACACTATCACCAATATGAAAACAGTTTAAGGTTTGTTTGGAGGTAGATTTTGTTTTTGTTTTTTTTCCTTAGAGTGGTTGTGCCACCAGCTTGGTTTTTCATTTTGCTTTAGATTTTTAGGGATTGCTTTTAAAATTTAACTTTGTTTTATAACTGTGTGGCATATTACCTTGTTCTAAGTCAAATCTGCAAAACAAAATCTATTCAGAGAATTCAAGCTTCCCTCCCTCCACTTGTTTTCCCCCTTTCCTGTATAAGTAACTATTTTTATTAGTTTTTGGTTTATCCTTCCATTAAAGTATATGTGTGTATGTATATACTATATATATATATATACATACACACACTATATAAAAGCAAATGTGTTTGTGTATTGGTGTTCACCCCTTGTCCACCTCACTTTTCTCCATCTTGCTTTTTTCATTTAGTTATCCCAGAGATCACCCCATAGCCATGTATAAAGATATTTTGTTTTGTTTTTTGCGAGGAAGATCAGCCCTGAGCTAACATCCATGCCAATCCTCTTTTTGTCGAGGAAGACTGGCCCTTAGCTGACATCCGTGCCCATCTTCCTCCACTTTATGTGGGACGCCACCACAGCATGGCCAGAGAAACTCACGCCCGGGGATCCGAACCGTGGGCCGCCAGCAGCGGAGTGCGCGCACTTAACCACTAGGCCACGGGGCCGGCCCTTTTGCATTTTTTAAAACAGCTTTATTGAAGTGTAATTTACATGCCATAAAATTCACCTGTCTGAAAGTTACAGTTTGGTGAGTTTTAGTATATTTATAGATTAATGCAACCATCACCACAATCCAGTCTTAGTACACATCCGTCACCCCAGAAAGCCCCCTCCTGCCCCCTTGCTGTCAATCCACCCTGGTCCCAGCAGACGATCTGCTCTCTTTTCACGTTGCTATTGACAGCTGCATAGTGTCCCATGGTGTGCGTGGACCATAGTTCATTCAACCAGCCCCTGTAATCCTTCAGTGAATAGCCTTGTGCATGTGTCTTGTTTGAATTTGTGCCAGTGTATCTTTGGAATAGACTCCTAGAAGAGTTTCTGAGTCAAATGGTCAGTGAATATGTAATTTCTCTAAATAATACCAAGTCCCCGCTCTGAAGGGGTTATACCAATAATGTATATTATTGCAATAATGTAATTGCATTCCCACCAATAATGTATGAAATTATTTCCCCGTGGCCTCACCAATAGAGTAGATCGTTAAACTTAGAAATGGTATCTCAATATAGTTTAATTTGCATTCTTACTGTCAAGAAGGTTGAACATTTTTTCAAGAGTTTAAGAGCCATTTGCATTTCTTTTTCTCTGAAATGTCTGCTTCTAACTCTTGTCCATTTCTCCATTCTTTACTATTTTTAGGATCTCTTTATATATTAGGGATAGTTTTTGTGTTATAAGTGGCAAATATTTTTCTCAATTATTATTTTACTTTTCCAAAATTATTTTTTTACACTGATAAAACTGTTTAAAAATGTGTTTAACAGCCAACGTTTCCACTTATTTCATCTGGATTTTGAGTCAGGTAAAGCTTCCCCAATCCTGGTTATAGAGTAATTCGCTCATGTTTACTTCTAGTTATTGGTGTGGTGTCCTTTTTTTTCTTTAGCATTTGATTTTCTGACTTACCTGGATTTATTCTGATGTGCAGTGTGAGGAACAAATCTGCTTTTATCTTTTTCTATTGATTATCTTGATACTCCATAACATATTTAAAAACTCAGCTTATCCTCATTATTTGAGATATCTTTATCATACACTAAATTTATGTATGTAATTGGGACTATTTATGCATTTTTCTGTTTTGTTCCATTAGTCTGTCTATTCATGCACAGACGCCACACTGTTTTAATGGTAGAGACTTTATAATTTATTAGTGCTTTTTTCCTTATCAACTTTAAATATTTATTAACTCCTTGTTAAGAAAAACTAGACTTTGCCTAATTTATCCCTCATTTATTATTCCTCTCCCCAGCTTTTCAGAATTATATATTTTTATTCTTCTGTTGGTTACATTTTAAATTTAAATTAATGATTCATTTTAAAAAAATCAACTTAAGTGAGGTATAATTTACATACAATAAAATGTAACATTTTAAATGTACATTTAGATGACTTGACAAAATTATTTACCCATGTAACTACCAGCACAATCAAAATAAACAACATGTGAACATCAGTATTTTGGTTCCATCATATTTAGTCAGTATGTGTTAATTCCTCATGGGATATGATGAGTACACTTTACCACTTTTTTCCGTCTTCTACCTCTCAAATTCTGTCTTCGTAATTTTTTTTTTTTTTTTTTTTACAATTTCACACAATAACATTTGAATTCTGTTCTGTTACTATATTTAGGTCTTCCGTGCATTGTCTATGGGTTGATTATGAAATTTGAAAATAGATATACAGTGTGTACATTATTCCAACTCTAGTATTCTCTGCTAGTCAAAGGATTGCAGGCACTCCTTCTCCCTCTCCACGGTCAAATGTTATGACCTCTTTACTGCGGAGAGGAGGGTATTGCTGGTATCTGGATCAAACGGATTCTCTTTTTCTCTACTCTAATGATTGCTCAAACCATGGTTCATATTTTAACCATGGTTTTCCTAGGTAGAATGCTTTTCCTAGAATCCTGAAGTACTTTTAAAAAAAGATGTCTTCATCTTGACTTCCAAACCACCCAGGCTTTCATCGATACCACCTGTAGAATGCAATCCACTTTTCTTGGAGACGTCCCTTGTAGCCCATCACAGCTCCCTGCTCTAGACTGGACTGGTTGCTATCTAGGACTACTGGCCATTTCTCATTCTGGGACTTCTCTTCACTGTCACTGTCCCTCATCTCCCTAGGTTATACTAACTGCTTTCTGGATTTCATTTCCTTCTCTTTCTTGTTTTCCTTATTTTCTTGAAGCATATTCTTGAGTAACTTCCTCAGAAAGGGTGCATGAGTGGAAAAACTTTAGGTCTTTGTCTTCCTGAAGATGTCTATATTCATTCCATCTCTTGTACTTGATTCATAGTTTGTCTGGAGTAAAATTACATGTTAGCATAAATTTCCCTCAGAATTGTGAAGGTATTGTTCCATTGGCTTCTATCATTTGATTGTAGCTGATGCGAGGATTTGTATCAATATATGATTCTCATTCCTTGGTACTTGAAAGTTTCTTCCTCTGGAAGCATCTAGGATTTTTCCTTTATCTTTGGTGCTCTGAATACTCGTGAGTCTTCTTTCATTTATTGCATTTTTTCCCCCAATTATCCATTGAGCAGTCCCTTTCATTCTGAAGTCTGGTGACTTTATTTAAATCTGGGACATTTTTTTTCTATTATTTTGTCTCCCACTTTCACTGACTCTGACATCACAGAAACGCCTGTTAGGTGAATGTTCTACCTGGTGGATTGACTCTCTCATTTTTTCTTTGTCTTTATAATTAGAGTTTTTGACATTGTCTTTCTGCTTGCTTACTATTTTTTCTTGACTTTGACTTTCAGCCTGTGTACTGGTTTGTTTTTTCATTTTAGAAATCAGATGTTTTTTTAGTGCGGGAAAAGGCATCAGGTAATGATAGAATAGCATGTTACAGACCACTGAGAACAACTGGAAATGCTATAAAAAATACAAATCAAATCAGTTTGAAAGCATTGGAGCACTATTAACGCAGGCAGGACTTAAAGGGCCGTGATGCTGTAGAGATGGAATTGCGTACAGGTGAGCCCAACATTCTGTATTGCTTCTACCCTTGAGGGATTTGCTAATTTGAAAGTGGTATAGGTCCAAGAGCAGGAAATAGCGGCTAAGAGGCTGGGAAATTGAGTTGAGTTTTCGGCAGTCTAATAGTAACTGGAGAGAAAAAATGTAGAGAAAGAGAAGTCACGTTGAGATGAACTCAGCAGTTTGTTCCACTTTCCCCCTGAGACGCTTGCTGATTCACGAGCAGCATGGGAGCAAGAAGCTAGGAAGCTGAGAGGGCCAAGCAGAGGTTTTGGCAGTCTCGTGAGTCTGGGGAGGCAAAAATTTCAGGTAATGGCCCACTAAGTAGGAGAAGCCCTGGTAAACACCTCAGGCTTCCTATTGGTGGCATGGAGGGGCTACACTCTAGGATTAAGAGCAAACCAGAAAAAGACCGACCTCCTCAAAAGACTGAAACCCACCATTGAATCAGTTCAATCCCAGACTGATTAAGGTGATAACGTCCCTATTCTGACTGCTTGCCAGAAAGCAAAATATATTCTCTGTGGAGGAAGATAACATTAGTGAACCTCAAATTTTTTTTTTTTTTTTTTGTCAGGAAGATCAGCCCTGAGCTAACATCCATGCTAATCCTCCTCTTTTTGCTGAGGAAGACCGGCTCTGAGCTAACATCTATTGCCAATCCTCCTCCTTTTTTTCCCTTTTTCTCCCCAAAGCCCCAGTAGATAGTTGTATGTCATAGTTGTACATCCCTCTAGTTGCTGTATGTGGGACGCTGCCTCAGCGTGGCCGGAGAAGTGGTGCATCAGTGCGCGCCCAGGATCCAAACCCAGGCCGCCAGTAGCAGAGCGCATTGCACTTAACCGCTAAGCCACGGGGCCGGCCCCAGTGAACCTCAAATTTTGTCTACAATTTTTTATATACAATGTCCAGCATGCAATAAATTATCAGGCATTCTAAGAAATAGCAAAATAAATAAACCAAACCAGGAAAATAATACTTATTTTAGAAAGAACCTACAGGTGATGCATATATTGCAGTTACATTGGCTCATTTGATTATCATGTTCAATAAAATAGAGGAGAAGATTGAAAATTTCTGCAGAGAACTGGAATCAATAAAATAGAATCAAATGGAAATTCAATAACAGAAACCACTGTTAAAAACTCCATGGGTGTGAAAAGACAACCTACAGATTGTGAGAAAATATTTGCAAATCATATATTTGATAAGCAGTTAATATACAGAATATATAAAGAACTCCTTTAACTCAACAAGAACAAAAAACCTCAAAAAGTGGACAAAAGACTTGAGTAGATATTTCTCTGAAGAATATACATAAATGGTCAATAAGCACATGAAAAGATGCTCAATAGCACTATTCATCAGGGAAATGCAAATCAAACCACAATGAGATACTACTTTACACCCATTAGGATGGCTATTATTAAAAAAAAAAAAAAAGTATTGACAAGGATGTGGAGAAACTGGAACACTTATGCTCTGTTGGTAGGAATGTAAAATGATGCAGCTGCTATGGAAAACAGTATGACAGTTCCTCTATCATTTAAATTGAATTGAATTATCATATGATCCAGCAATTCTATTCTGAGTATGTACCCAAAAGAATTGAAAGCAAGACCTGAAAGAGATGTTTGTACACCCATGTTCATAGCAGCATTATTTACAACAGCCAAAAGATAGAAGCAACCCAGTGTCCATTGATGGATGAATGGATGAGTAAAGGTGGTATATACATACAATGGAATATTATTTCACCTTAAAAAGGAAGAAAATTCTGACACATGTTACAACATGGAGGAAGCTTAAGGACATTATGGTAAGTGAAATAAGCCAGTCACAGAAAGACATATACTATATGATTCCCCTTATATGAGGTATCTAGAGTAGTCAAGTTATTAGAGGCAGAAAGCAGAATAATGGTTGCCAGGAGCTGCGGGAAGAGGAGAAAGGGAAGTTGTTTAATGGGTACAGAGTTTCAGTTTTGCAAGATGAAAAGAGTTCTGGAGATTGGTTGCAAAACGATGTGAATGTACTTAACACTATCGGACTGTACACTTAAAATGGTTAAGATGGTAAATTTTGTTATTTTTTTAAAAATAAATTTTTAAAGATACTAAAAACCCCCAAACAAGAAAAAACTCCACAGATGAGTTTAACAGCAGGTTAGTTACAGCAAAATAGAGGATTCCTGATCTGGAAAGCAGGTCAATAGGAAATACCCAGAATGAATCAGAGAGAGAACAAGCATGGAAAATACAGAAAAGAGATTAAGAGACATACGGGATGTAGTGTAAAAGTCTAACGTGGAGACTGGAGTCCAAGAAGAAGAGGAAAGTGAAAATGGGGCAGAAGCAGTATTTGAAGAGATTGCAGGCAATGACATTTCCAAGTCGATAAAAAGACTCTAAGTGACAAACTGAAGAAGCTCTATAACCCTTGAGCAGGAAGACAAACACACCTAGGCACATTATTATAAACCCACTGAAAACCAGATACAGAGGAAATCTTAAAAGCAGCCAGAAGGACAAGATAAATTACAGTCCATCGTCATTATTTTCAGTATCCATATTTGTGAAGTTGCCTACTTGCTAAAATTTATTTGTAACCTTAAAATCAATACTTAATGGTGCTTTCACAGTCATTCACAGACATGCACAGAACAGTGAAAATTTTGAGTTACCCTGACACCCCTGAACCTCTTGCCACCACTGATCTTTTTACTGTAGTGATAGTTTTGCCTTTTCCAGAATCTCAGAGTTGGAATCATACAGTATATAGCCTTTTAAAACTAGCTTCTTTCAAGTGGGACTTTATCAGATTAAAGAGCTTCTACAAGACAAAGGAAACCAGAATCAAGATGAACAGACAACCCAGGAGCTGGGAGAAAATATTTGCAAAACATATATCTGACAAGGGGTTAGTCTCCATAATATATAAAGAACTCACACAACTGAACAACAAAAAAACAAACAACCCAATCAAAAAATGGGCAGAGGAAATGAACAGACACTTCTCCAAAGACGATATACAGATGGTCAATAGGCACATGAAAAGATGTTCAACATCACTAATCATCAGGGAAATGCAAATCAAAACAACGCTAAGATATCACCTCACGCCCATTAGAATGACTATAATCACCAAGACAAAAAACAACAAATGTTGGAGAGGATATGGAGAAACAGGAACCCTCATATACAGCTGGTGGGAATGCAAACTGGTGCAGCCTCCATGGAAAACAGTATGGAGATTCCTCAAAGAATTAAAAATAGAAATACCCTATGATCCAGCTAGTCCACTACTGGGAATCTATCCAACGAACCTGAAATCAACAATCCAAAGAGGCTTATGCACCCCTGTGTTCATTGCAGCGTTATTCACCATAGCCAAGAAGTGGAAGCAACCCAAGTGTCCCTCGACTGATGATTGGATCAAGAATATGTGGTATATATATACAATGGAATACTACTCAGCCGTAAAAAAAGACAAAATCGTCCCATTTGCAACAACATGGATGGGCCTGGAGGGTATTATGTTAAGTGAAATAAGCCGGAAAGAGAAAGGCAAACGCTGTATGATCTCACTCATATGTGGAATATAAACCAACCCATGGACAGAGAAAACTGTATTGTGGTTACCAGGGGCAATGGGTGTGGGGGTGGGCACAAGGGGTGAAGGGAGACATATATATGGTGATGGACAAACAAAAACGTACAACCCAAAATTTCACAATGTTATAAACTATTAAAACATCAATTAAAATAAATAAAAATTATATAAAAAATAACCACTAGCTTCTTTCACTTAGCAATTTAAGATTCCTCTATGTATTTTTGTGGCTTGATAACTCATTTCTTTTTGTTACTGAATAATATTCTGTAGTATGGATGTACCACAGTTTATTTATCCCTTCACATACTGAGGGACATTTGAGTTGCTTCCAATTTTTGGCAATTTTGTATAAAGCTGCTATAAACATTTGTGTGCAAGTTTTTGTGTGAAGATAAGTTTTAAACTCATTTAGGTAAATGCCAAACAGTGTGATGGCTGGATTGTATGGGAAGAGTATATTTAGCTTTGTAAAAATCTGAAAAACGGTTTTCCAAAGTGACTGTACCGTTTTTCATTCCCACCAGCAATGAATTAGAGTTCCTTTTGCTCCACATTTTTGTCAGCATTTGGTCTTGTCATTGTTTTGGATATTAGCCATTCTAATAGGTGTATCAGTGTGTAGTGTGTCAATGTTAATGATATTGTATTTTTAATTTTGGATTCCATATATTTACTCTTTGTACATAGAAATGTGATTGATGTTTGTGTATTTATCTTGTATCCTGAAACCTCTCTAAACTCACTACTTCTAGAAGGTTATGGTATAGATTCCCTGAGGTTTCTATGTAGACAACCATGTCCGCTGCAAATAGGGACAGTTTTATTTCTTTCTTTTGAATCTGTGTGCCTTTTGTTTCTTTTTATAGTCATATTGCAATGGTTAGAACTGCCAGTACTATATCAAATAAGAGAAGTGAGAGTGAACATCCTTGCCTCATCCCTAATCCTAGGGGAAAAGCATTCAGCCTTTTTACCATTAAGTCTGATGTCTATGGATTCCTTTGTAGATGTTCTTCATCAAGTTGAATTAGTTTCCCTTTACTCCTAACTTACTGAGAGCTTTTAATCATGAATGGGTGTTGCCAAAGCAACGTTTAGACAAAAAAAATGTATAGTAGTAAGGCTTATGTTAGAGAAGAATAAAGTTTCTTTCACCTTAATGAACTAAAAAAATAAGAACAAATTAAACCCAAAACATGCAAAAGGAAGGAAATAAGGATAGTAGCATAAATCAGTAAAATTATAAACAGGAAAATAATAGAAATAAAATCAATGAAACAAAAAAACTCGTTTCTTGAAAAAAATCAGTAAGATTGACAGACCTCTAGCCACGCTGACCAAGAAAAAAAAAAAATTGAGAGAAAGCACAAACTATTAATATCAAGAAATAGTGGGGCCGGCCCGGTGGTGTAGTGGTTTAGTTTGGCACACTCTGCTTCAGCAGCCTGGGTTTGCAGGTTCGGATCCCCGGAGCAGACCTACACCGCTCATCAAACCGTGCTGTGACGGTGACCCACATACAAAATAGAGGAAGATTGGCACAGATGTTAGTTCAGGGACAATCTTCCTCAAGCAAAAAGAGGAGGATTGGCAACGGAGGTTAGCTTAGGGCCCCTCTTCCTCACCAAAAAAAAAAAAAAAGAAGAAATAGAAGATATCACTAAAGACCTTACCAACATTAGAAGCATAATAAAAGATATCCTATGACTAACTTTATGACTGTAAATTTGACAACTTAGATGAAATGCACCAATTTTTTGAAAGACAAAAACTACTGAAACTCAGGAAGAAATAGAACCACCTGAATGGTCTTATATGTACTAAAGAAATTGAATTTGTAGTTAAAAATTTTCCCAAGAATCAGAACAACAACCAAGAAAACTATACAAAATAATACACTCAAAATCACTACAAATAAGTCAAAAGAGAATCCTTAAAAATATTTTTAACCCATGGGAAGGGAAGAAAGGAGAAACAGAAGACCCAAACAATAATCAATAAAATGGCATACAAAAGCCCTAACAACATAGACTACCTTAAGTGTAAATGGTCTGGGGGCTGGCCCCTGGTGTAGCAGTTAAGTGCACACGCTCTGCTGCTGGTGGCCTGGGTTTGGATCCCGGGTGCGCACCCATGCAGCGCTTGTCTGACCATGCTCTGGCGGCATCCCATGTAAAGTAGGGGAAGATGGGCATGGATGTTAGCCCAGGGCCAGTCTTCCTCAGCAAAAAAAGAGGAAGATTGGCATGGATGTTAGCTCAGGGCTGATCTTCCTCACACACACACAAAAAAGTGTAAATGGTCTAATTATATCAGTTAAAACATAGGAATTGGCAGAGTGGATAAAAAATCGTGACCCAACTATATACTGTTTAAAAGAAACTTCAAATGCAAAAAAACAATAGGTTGAAAGTAAAAGAATGGAAAACAATGTATCATGCAAGAATTAATCAAAGAAAGAGTAGCTATATTAGTATCAGATAAACTAGGCTTCAGAGCAAAGAAAGTTACCAGGGACAAAGATGTAGGCACATTTCATAACAATAAAAGGATCAATCCACCTGGAAGACAAAATTCAGTGTATGCACTAAAAACCAGACCCTCAAAATACTTGAAGCAAAATTTGGTAGAGCTGAGAAGAGAAACAGACAAACCCACAATTATATATAAGTTGGGGATTTCAACACTCCCCCCCCTCAGAAACAGTTATAACTAATACACAGAAATTCAAGAAGAATATAGAATAACCATACAACACTATCAACCATCAGTATCTAATCAATATGTATAGAACATTCCAGCCAATAACAGCAGAATACACAATCGTTACAAGCGCCCATGGAACATTCACCAAGATAGATCATATCATAGGCCATAAAATAAATCAGAGAGAGTATGTCTTCTAACCACAATAAAATCAAATTAACACTCAATAACATAACAGAAAAATCTCAAAACGTTTAGAAATTAAACATCACACTTCTAAATAATCTAGTGTCAAAGACAGTCTCAGAAATTTTAGAAAATACATTTTAACAAAAATGAAAACACAAAATATGTGTGACACAGTTAAAGCAGTGCTGGGAGAGAAATCTCTAGCACTAAAGGCTTACATGAAAAAAAGAAAAGATTTTCAAATCAATGATCTAAATTGCCAACTTGAGAAACTAGAAATAGAAGAGCAAAATAAACCCAGAGCAAGCAGAAGAGAGGAAATAATAACCATAAGACAGGAAGTCAATGAAATTGAAAACAAAAACAATAGGAAACAATAGAAAAAAGTCAATGAAACAAAAAGCTATTTCTTTGAACAGATCTATAAAACTGGCATATCTTTAGCAAGAGAAAGAAAAAAAGAGAGATAATACCAGTTACCAATATCAGAAATAAAACAGATCACTACACATTTAGCAGTGAGTAACATGATAATAAGGGATCTACTAAGAAAAACTCTACACACATTAATTCAACTTCTTAGATGAAATGGATCAATTCCTTGAACAGCATAAATTATCAAAAACTCACCCAATAGAAAGTAGATCATTTGGGTAGCCTTATAACTATTAAAGATATTGGAGTCATAGTTTAAAAACTACTAGGGGCTGCCCCAGTGGCATAGTGGTTAAGTTTGTGCACTCTGCTTCAGCGGCCTGGGATTTGCGGGTTTGCATCCTGGGCATGGACCTACACACCACTCATCAAGCCATGCTGTGGCTGCGTCCCACATACAAAATGGAGGAAGATGGGCACAGATGTGAGCTCAGGGACAATCTTCCTCAAGCAAAAAGAGGAAGACTGGCAACAGATGTTAGCTCCCAGCCAATCTTCCTCACACACACAAAAAAAAACCCTACTAGAACTAATAGATCATCAAAGGCACAGGATACAAGACCAACATACAAAAATCAAAGGTATTTTTATATACTAGCAATGAACATGTAGAAACAAAATTAAAAACAATACCAAACAATCTCTGAAAACAAATAAACATATTTAGGTATAGAGAACTTGTATGCTGAAAACTACAAAGTACTAAGCAAAGAATATCTAAATAAGTAGATGTACTATATTCATGGATTGGAAGCCATGAACATGGTGAAGATGACAATTCTCCCCAAATTTATTTACAGGTTTAATGCAATTGCATAAAAATCCCAGGAAAAATTTTTTTTGTAGATATAGACAAGCTTATTCTAAAATGTATATGGAAAGGTAAGGAGCTAGAATAGCAGAAACAAATTTTGGGAAAAAAGTATAATGTGGGAAGAATCACTCTACTTGATTTTAAGACTTTCTACAGAGCTCGTACAATCAAGACAGTGTGATGTTGACGGAGGAATAGACACATAGATCAGTGGAACAGAATGGAGAACCCAGAAACCGATTCACACAATGATGCCCAGCTGATTTTTGAAAAAGGTGCAAAAGCAATGCAATGAAGGAAGGCTAGCCTTATTGACAAATAGTGCTGGGGAAACTCGACATCTGTAGGCAAAAAAAAAAAAAGAGAATCTCGATCTCAGCCACCAAAATTTGACTTAAAATGTGCTGTGACCTTCCATGTAAAACGTAAAAAATAATGCTTTTGGAAGAAAAACACAGGCGACAATCTTGGGGACTTAGGGCTAGATGAAGCATTCTTAGACATAACACCAAAAGTGTGATTCATAAAAGAAAACATTGATAAATCGAACTTCATCAATATTAAAAACTTTTGCTCTGCAAAAGATGCTCTTAAGAGGATGAAAATACAAGCTTCAGAATGGGAGATGATATTTGCAAACCATATATTTGATACAGGACTCATGTCTAAAATATATAAAGAACTCCCAACAGTAAAAACACGTCATCCAATTAGAAAATGGGCAAAACACAGGAAGAGACATTTCACCAAAGAGGATATATGGATAGCAAATAAGTACATGAAATGATATGCAACGTCATTAGCCACTAGGAAACACAAAACCACGATGAGGTATCACCATACACCTGTTAGAACTAAAATACAAACTAATGACAATTCCAGGTGCTGAGGAGAATGTGGAGAAACTGGACCTCTCATATGTGACTGGTACAAATGTAAGAGGCTGTAGCCACTTTGGAAAAGAGTTTCCGCAATTTCTTAAAAAACAAAGCATACATTTACCATATGACCCATCGCTTGCACTTTTTTATTCCAGAGAAATAGAAACTTATGTCCACAAAGGAACCTGAACACAAATGTTCATAGCAATTTTATTTAAAACAACCTGAAATAGGAAACAATCCAGATGTCCTTCAATGGGTGAATAGTTGAACTGTGATACATCCCTATCACGGAATCTGCTCAGTGATGAAAAGAAAGAAACTATTGATACAGGCGACAACTCGTAAGGATCTCAAAGGCATGATACTGAGTGAAAAGAAGGCAATCTCAACGATTACATACTGTGAGATTCCGTTTATTTAATATGTCTGAAATGACAAAATTACAGAAATGGAGAGAGGAACAGTGGTTGCCAGTGTTGGGGGATGTGGGAGGCAGGTGGGTGTGACTGTAGAGGGACAGCATGAGGGACATCTTTGTGCTGATGGCACAGTTCTTGTATCTTGATTTTGGTGGTGGTGACATGAATCTGCACATGTGATAAAATTCATCCAAATGTAAACACACAAAAATAAGTGTATGTAAAACTGTGAACTCTGAATAGCTTTTGTGGACTTCCCAGTTTTGATACTGTATCATAGTTAGGTAAGGTGTTACCATTGGGAGAAACTGACTTGAAAGGTACGTGGGACCTCTCTACTATTTTTGCAACTTTCTGTGGATCTATAATTATTTCAAAATGAAAAGATTTCAAAAGTCAATTATATTTCTATTCAGCAGCAAAAATTCCAAACTAAAAAAAAGCTTTAATATACTATTTTCAATAACTTTAAAAAAAATCAACATCCTAGGAATAATTCTAATGAAAAACGTACAAGTCCTCTACACAGAAAACTTGTGAAACAATTGAAAGAACTAAACAAATGAAGTGATGTGCTATGTTTATTGATCGAAGAATGAAAAAGATGTTAATTCACTCCAAATTGATCTATATGAATTTAATACAGTCTCAATCAAAATCCCAGCAGGTTTCTTCTTTTTTCTTTTTTTTGGTGGAAATAACAAACTGACTATAAAATGTATACTGAAATGCAAATGGTAGATATACTCAAGATAATGATGGAAGAAGAAAATTTGGAGCATTTCCAGCCCAGATGTCAAGACTTGTTATAAAGTGGCAGTGTGGTATTGACACAAGAATAGGCAAATAGACCAAAGAAGTCAAATGAAGTTCAGAAATACATTCACACATATATGGACACATTTATGACAAAAGTCCAGAGTAGTGGACTTTTCAGTAAATAGAACTGGATCACTTTTATATCCATTTGTGAAATGATAAGTATTCACCCATACCTCACACAGTACACAAAACCAATTTCATATGATTGTTGTTCCACAAGTGAAGGGTCAGACAACGACACCTCTAAAACAATATGGAAGAATTTATTTTGAGTTTGAGACAAGTAAAGATTTCTACAACACGATACAAAAAGCATTATATATTGTTTTCTTGAGCTCTTTATAGATTTTATTCCTTCTTCATAGCATCCTCTTCTTGTTTTATGGATGTAATGTTTTCTCCATGGTGATATAAATTAGAGTCTTTTAACTTAGGTTTCTTGATTTTCCAAGTTCACTTTTTGGCTTGTTTGTTTTTTCACATTCCTGGTGTCCACGTTTGTCTGATGATTCTAAGTTTTCCTAGGACTTGATTGCTTATAGGTGGCTGACGTGTGTTTCCTCTGCTGTTGTGTAAGGTTTGTTTCCTCATTAGGTCTGAATGGGAACGCTGATGGGGAGCTATGGGTACATAGCTGAATGGGCAGCCCGTTGGCTGGGAATCTCTGAAATGCCAGGATTCCTAAACCACTAGCCTATCCCCACCCACCCAGGTCCATTTCTCTAGAGAAAAGCTCCCTGGCTTCTTTCACAGGCAGCCCCTTGGAACTTTGTCATCTCTGGGTCTGAAGTCCCCTGAGTTTCTCCAGGAGGCTCTCTTCCTTGGCCCCCTGTAGCCCTCTTTTGCATATAGTCTTGCTGCTGGCTTCTTTCACTTTTCTTCTCCCAGAAGTATGTTAAAATCTTTCATCCACTGAAGACTCCTCCTCCTGTTCATTTCTTTTGTTATTATTGTTATTTACTGGTAGTGAGTAGAGAAAAACAGATGTTTTCAGTCTACCCTCTTAAAATGGAACCTTCTAACTAACTTATCCTTTTAACTAGCTTAACTTAGTGTTTGCCAAAATTACTTGGATATACTATCCTATTAACAGCCAAATGGAACAAATATTTAGAAACAGCATTATATAGAGATTTGAGGGTGTTATGAAAAGGTTGATCAATCTCACTATGAGAATAAAAATTCTTGTGTCCTTTATGAAGAAAACCAGGGCAGAATCCCCACCTGTGGAATTTCTGATTGTACCCCTGTTTCAGTAGTGTAAGCATCCTGGTGTTCACAAACCCTGGGGTGTGAAATCTTAACCAGTGAGTACTTTTCCAAGTGGCCAAGTCAATCCAAAACTGCTTCAAGGAAAACTCATGTTCTGTCCACTAGTGCTCAGTTCTCTTCAGGGCGAGAAGACTGGTTAGGCTTCAGAAAGAACTTTCACGAAAGATTGCCAACTCACCTATTCACTTATCACTTCTCTTGGTCTAT